CTTCGGGGGGCCGCGGCGCCCGAGGATGAGGACGAGGAGCCCGGTGACCCCGAGGAGGAGGAGGAAGAAGAGGAAGAGGAGCCGGACCCCGAGGCCCCCGAGAACGGCTCCCTGCCCCGGTTCCTGCCACGCTTTAACTTCACCCTGAAGGACCTGACCCGCTTCGTGGATTTCAACATCAAAGGGCGCGACGTGATCGTGTTCCTGCACATCCAGAAGACGGGGGGCACCACGTTCGGCCGGCACCTGGTCAAGAACATCCGGCTGGAGCAGCCGTGTAGCTGCAAAGCGGGCCAGAAGAAGTGCACCTGCCACCGGCCGGGCAAGAAGGAGACGTGGCTCTTCTCCCGCTTCTCCACCGGCTGGAGCTGCGGGCTGCACGCCGACTGGACGGAGCTCACCAACTGCGTGCCGGCCATCATGGAGAAGAAAGACTGTCCCCGCAACCACAGCCACACCAGGTACGGTCCCTTGCCCCATCGCACTTCCTGCCACCCGCCCCCATCCCACCCCCATCCCGACGGCGGGCCGGAGCGTCCGGTGCTGGTGGTTCCCCGGCTGCGTCCAGCAGTTGGAGCGGAGGCCTTGGGAGAGGGGTACGGAACCTCTGTCTAAAGCCCTGGTCTTGAACCCCCCTCCTCAGGCTCCCCCCCCATAGGCTGCCCGCCACCCCCTTGCATCCTCAAAGGTTGCGGGAGCTTTCCTGTGTCATTCCTTGTGCCTAGCACGGTGTGGCTCCCTCAGGCGGAGGTCGGTCACCACGCCGTGGCGTGGCGTGGCGTGGCGTGGCGTGGTGGGCCTGGGTGGGACCAGTGCGGTCGAATCTGTTACTTGAGTTCTTCAACCCGATAAGAGACTGGGGAGCTGGGCGCAGAGAGGTAGGGCCGGAGTTTGGAGGCGCGGTGAAGCTGGGGAGGAGTACCGTCTCTCGAAAGTGACCTGTGGGTGGCCGCTGGCCAGCCCTGGAAACAGCCCTTGTGATGCCGCGTTGAAGATACCCGTTTAGGTGCCTGCTGTACCTCGATAACCCTAATTTTGAAGATAGTCTTTGTTGCTGAGCAGCGCCAGGCTTTGGACCCATGCTGATCTCAGCAAGATTGCCACTCTCCCCCAGCCTAATCCGTCAGCTCGTTCCAAAAGCGTTTGTTCAGTGCCTTGCCTGTGCCTGGCAGTGGGCTAAGTGCTGACTGGTTACAAAGATCTAGTGAGTGACATCCCTTCCTTTCAGCACACAATGGCGCTCCCCCTCCCGCATGAAATGGTAATACTGCTGAGAATTAGGAAAGTTTGAAATCTTAATAGCCAATGAAAGTACTTACATTATTCACATCCTTAGAGAGAGGCATGGACTTAAGAATTTGGTTGAATGTTCTTTCTGCCCATTGCAATGTGAAGATTAATCTGACATGCTTGCTCAAGGGACCGAGATATTAAAAGCTTGGAACACTAGTTTATTGAAGTTTTTATCTCAAAGGTTTCAAACAATTTGGTGTAAGGAAATAGGAATTTAAAAAACTCAAGCTCAATATGTTGCTATCAGATCGTTTTCACATTTGACATTATGGGAAAAGCTTCATTTACTGGAAGCTACCCAGATCCTGGAATTCACCACCACTGAAGCATCTAATTCTACTTCATTTCTCCAAGAATGAGCAAAATATCATTATAGAATTTTTTACTCTGGCAGTTTTTCAAATACTTTCTCTCCTTCCCGCTCCTTTCCCTGTTTAATGGAAATCGGTTAGGGTAAGAAATTGGTTGGGCTTGGAGTAAAGCACTAGGCTCCTTCCTTAGTGTATCTTCAGGACCTTCTTTACTTTTAAAATGTTCTAATTGTGTAGTATTTTAGATGCTGCCTCTTTAGTTTAAACCAGCCTTTACATGAATATTGCTTTCAAACTTCCTCTTCCAGTGGGAGACAGGATCTGTGAATTTTTGGGCTGGGTTGTGCTTTTTGTAGTTAGAGCTTTTTGTTTTCAAGAGCTTGCTAGTGTGGTTTTCAACTTTTACCCACTGAAACTAGAAACATCCATTATCAGAGAGAGCCATGTGATGTCTTGCAGGGATGCATTCCCCGCAGAAGGTGATGCTGTTCTCTGTACTTAAATGGATGCGGATGTCTCAGTAAATAGGTGAAGCGTTGGGTGGAAATAGAGGCTACAGAACCTAAAACTGGATTTTTGCTTAGTGAAGAAATGACGTCATAGACCCGGTACAGACCCTACCAGTAAGGTGTCACTTGTATGGCAAATACTCAAATCGCTTGACTCTGACCTAGAGAAATTCCACCCTGACTCTGAACATATGGCTTCTTTACACAGCCATTTTCCCTTAAATCACAAGACATCAGAGAATCTCTGTGTACATGTGGACTTTTGTGATACGCTCTTTGTTTTGGTACCACTTTTTATAATTCTCCCTTTTCTTCCTCCCCATGTCTCCCTTCCCAGAATTCTCAATTACTTTTCTTCCCAGATGCTGTAAGAGGGAATAGTTGTGGCTAGTGAGCTGCTTGAATCAAAAGCTATAGGGAAAAAGTTGAAGAGTTGTTCAGAAGCATCTTCCTCACAGGGAAGATTGAATTAGTTGTCCATCATCGGAATGCCTGTGTACAGCATCCTACAGCCTACTACATTAGTCTGGATAATGGAGGGTGAATTTCCACAATGCAAAATGGCAGATAATCTATTGCTACATAATGGGAACAAGGTTCTGCTTCACATAGGGCTCACACTAAGGAAAATGGAGATGTAGATCACACAGATTATAGTTCCTTCTTTTTCTGCTTTTGAACCCCCCCACCCGGCCTCCCCAGGCTCCCACTCCATTTCTCATAGGTACTAGTGAACTGTGGTTCATGGAATAGTAAGATCCAGGATTCTGAGAGCTGGAGGATATGGCTGTTGTGCTTACTGGTTGTATAACCACAAGTAAAATTACTCTCTCTGAGCCTCAAATATTTCACCTTTGAAGTACGGATAATAATGAGTACTTCCTTCATAGAGGTATGATGAGAACTCATTGAGTAAGTACGTGCAAAATGCTTAGCATAATATTTATGCCCAGCAAAATATTCTGGCACATGGAACTTAATATGCAGGTCTGGAGTGATATTAGCTGTTAAATTATAATAACAATGTTTTTCTTAATTGAGCTCTTCCTTCACAGACTGAAGGTGAGGTCAGTGGCTTAGAGCAGCTCAATGTAAATGGGTCATCTTAGTTTATAGAGATACTGTGTTAAGATTATTTATATTGATGCAGAATCTGAAGTTTCAAATATAACAGTACATTGAAAATCTTAGCTATTTGGGTATTCATCCTTGTGAGGGCAGGATGAGAAAAAACGATGATGGGCATACAGTATAACAGTGCTGACATGTTAGTTTGTGACCTTGAGGGTTCCCTGGTGAAATTCTAAATTGGCCTCCATACATGGGGGGCAAGGAGAAACCCAAGAAAGGATCAAATTGGTGGGGAATGATTTTATTTAGCAAGAGAACTTCCATAGGAGGCTTTTCTTGGGGAGCTACGAGACAAGTTGACATCTACTCTGAACCTGCCAAAATCTAGAGTTTAATAGAGGTCTTCATGGTGTGCAGTCACGTGTGCCATCTGGATGATTTCAGTAACACATCCCTCTCAAGGCTGTGCCCTGTGCAGTGGCCTCTGGTGGGGGAACAGTGGGTACAATGGACATTTCAGTGATGGGAAAAGTCTCTGGTCATCCTGCCCCAGCCCTTGGGGCAGCTGGTACTTACGTACTTTCTGTGTCCTTCTCTAACGTGATAAGTAAACTGTCTGTAAGTGAGACAGGAATGAGTTACATCTGGCACCCAAAGCAGAAATTAGAAGCCAACTCTGAAAGTTGAAAGCAGTCAGTGGACTATGTAGGATTCGAAGATTTCCTACAGAGTCGAAGCTCTGGGGCTGAGCATTTGGGTCCAGAGCAGAAGGCATCGCTGACCTCAGAAACTGGGTAGACGAAGATCAGCACTGACAGGAGATGGGCACATTGGAATGCCCTCTTTTATCACCTTCCTGATGATTTGGTCCCGTTCTTCTACTTTTTCTCTCCTTCCCCCAATTATTTATTGGCAGGTTATTCTCTTATTACACCAAGCTTCCTCCTTTCTGACTTTAGATTTCCCTCCTTTATTGGCTTGCACAGATCTTTAAGAGAGACATCTTTACAATTGCAGCATATTATGGCTAAAGATTTAACAGCCAATTTAGTGCCATAATTTACATGACAAGTTGGGGATTGGATCCTAACAAGGTGAAATGACACATCTAAGGTTTTCCCTAGGGAATTCATGTCCTCATTTGGTAATTTATATTCAATGTTTTAACTGTTATTTCTTCTGTCGACTATGCAAAGGATAGCTGCAAGTGTCTTAAGCACTTACTATGTGCCAGGTGCTATGATGGTCCTAGAAATACAGTTTGAAAACAAATAATGTCAGCTCTATGGAGTTTAGGATTTTAGGGAGATAGAACTTGCTCTACTTTGAAAGTATTGCTCTCTTATACTGAAAGGACAGTCCACTGTACATTTGTGGAGTGGAATGGCAATGTTTCTGTTTTATGACCTGAATTCTGTTCCTATTAAAGGTGCTTGGAACCTTATGAATAGTATATTAGATGGGATCCTCAGTGCTGCAAATTAGACATAAACTCAGTTCACCAGAAGGGAATCATTTGCTTAAATAACTGGACTGTAGAAAAGGTCAAGGTAGAGCTGTTTTCAAGAATGACTAAAATTGGAGATTTCAGGTGTTTTTGTTGAATATTGGCTTCATTATATCAAATCAGTTTATCCCAGGAAATGGGTAAGGGATTGTCACATCTAATATACAGCTTTGCAAGACCAGACAAAAGCAGACCTCTGAGTTCCAGTTTCAAATGCTGGGGAATGATTCTTATTAGTCAGTTTGGAACTTGTGACTATTCTTTCAGCCAGTTCTTGTGTCTCGGGAGGTGAGCTTCTCTCACCCACTGTGGGTCATAGAAACATCCCACGACTGTGTATGCACACACATGTGCATGTGTAAACACACATGAAGCTCCGGGGTGTTGCACTGGGTCTGCCCGGTACCCCACCCCCCCCAAACTGTGCAAATATAGGTGTAAGTAAATGAGAAATAAATGAACCTGCAGAGTCTACTTTTCATTTAGGAAAAAATTTAAGTCAAGCTGCAGTTTATTTGCAGCATCTGGAAACTGTGTCCTAGGAGGAATAATGGAAGGATCACGTCATATTAAATAGGGAGAAGGGAAAAATTAGGCAAGGCACAAAGTTGCCTTCAAATGCTCAAAGGAGAAGATGTGAAAGATGAAGGACACTTGTTCTGTATTTCTCCAAAGCAGAGAACCAGGATAAGTGGGACAAAAGTGATGAGAAAAGGATTTCAACTGAGAGTAAGAAAGAACTTCAAAAATGTGTAACTGTCTAAAATGAG